CAACAAACACCCCCTCACACAACACCCCCTGAGCACAACACCCCCTCGGCACAACACCCCCTCGGGAGCGGGAGCGCTGCAGGGAATCGGATTCCAGGACATCCTGGTGTCCTCCCGGTCCCCATTCCCTGAGCCAGTGTGAGGGACACTCAGATTCCAGGACATCCCGGTGTCCTCCCAGTCCTCAATCCCTGAGCCAGGATGGGATGGAGTGGACACGGATTCCAGGACATCCCAGTGCCCTCCCAGTCCTCATTCCCTGAGCCAGGACAGGGGGGGACATGGATTCCAGGACATCCCAGGGATGGGGGGACATGGATTCCAGGACATCCCAGGGATGGGGGGACATGGATTCCAGGACATCCCAGGGATGAGGGGGACATGGATTCCAGGACATCCCGGTGCCCTCCCTGTCCCCATTCCCTGAGCCAGGATGGGATGGGGGGGACACAGATGCCAGGACATCCCAGGGATGGGGGGGACATGGATTCCAGGACATCCCAGGGATGGGGGGGGACATGGATTCCAGGACATCCTGGTGTCCTCCTGGTCCCCATTCCCTGAGCCAGGACAGGGGGGGACATGGATTCCAGGACATCCCAGGGATGGGGGGGACATGGATTCCAGGACATCCCAGTGTCCTCCCTGTCCCCACCCCCAGGGCTGGGTTGGGTCCCCCAGCAGCTCCTCCCGCCCGCTTTGTCCCAGATCCCGGTGATTTTAGCCGGGAATTCTGCTCCCGCTCTGCCCCAGAGCTCCGGTTTTCCCGTCTCCATCCCCGGCCTCAAACATCCACGTTTACGGATCCACTGGGATCCCGCTGTCCGAGCTCCGAGTGCTGCTGGAGGGGGATATCCTGGGAGCCAGCCCTGCTCCCGGAGGAGCAGGAGGAGGAGGAGGAGGAGGAGGAGGAGGAGGAGGAGGAGGAGGAGGATGAGGAAGGCCGGGAGCCTCCAGCTGTACCTGGTTGGGGATCGCCCTCTTCTTGTTGGTCTGGGTGTTCCTCTGCTGCGCGCTGGAAAACAGGGAAAAGAGGGAATTCTTGAGGCAGGGAAGAGGAAGCCGAGCCGGGGCCACCACGCGATTCCCGCCCGGAACGCCGCAAGGATGAGCTGATCCAAGGAAAAGCCCGTCAGGTGGAATTCCAGAGCCCCTTCCCGAGGTTTGCCCAGGAGCAGGTGGAGAGGGGGAGGAGGGGGGACGGACACCGGGATCTCCTTCCTCACGGACCGTTATTCCCAGGAATTCCAGGGGGAAGGAACTGGCAGGAGAGGAAACACCAAGTGGAGCAGCGGCTGCGGATTCCCAAGGGAATTCCGGCGGGAGAACCACCGAGAACCACCGAGAACCAGGGAGGCCTCGCTTCCGAAAACACCTGATTCCCCCCGGATCGGGATCGGGATGGAGCGTTACCTGCACCAGAGGGAAAGCTACCTGTCTCTCCTGAGCAGCGGGGGGACGGGGCGGAACCGTTAGGCAGGAGCGGGAATAAAATCCAGGAACACAGTTAGAATCCCGCCGGGACACCCCGGAGCAGCAGTTCCCGAGCCCCCGTCCCTGGGAATGGGCGGGATCCCATCCCTGACCTGCCGGGATTCCAGGGGAGGGGGGGGTGTTTGGGGAGCTGCTCTCTGCCTGCCCTGATCCCGACATTCCTCCCGAATCCCTGGGCACGGGAATGCTGCTCCCGGCATTCCGGGGCGGAGCGGGATGCTCTCCGAGGGCTCGAGGAGAAGCTCCAGGCTCCCAAAAATCCAAGGTGGGAAGTGGGAGGAGAAGCTCTGGGCTTCCAATTCCGAAGCTGAACTGGGAGGAGAAGTTCCCCGGCTCTCAGATCCAAGGGACAAATTCCCTGGCTCCCGATTCCAAAGCTGACTGGGAGGAGAAGCTCCCCAGCTCCCAGATCCAAAGGGGAAGCTCCTCAGCTCCCAGATCCAACACGGAAGCTCTCCAGCTCCATGGGGAAAGTTCCCCAGCTCCCAAACCCACAAGGGAAGCTCCCAGATCCAAAGGGGAATCTCCCCAGCTCCCAGATCCCAAAGGGGAAGCTCCCCAGCCCCCAGACCCAGGTGGGAAGCTCCTGAACCCAAAGGAGAAGCTCCCCAGCTCCCAGATCCAAAGGGAAGCTGCCCAGCTCCCAGATCCAACAGGGAAGCTCTCCAGCTCCCAGATCCAAAGGGAAACTCTCCAGCTCCCAGATCCAAAGGGGAATCTCTCCAGCTCCCAGATCCAAAGGGGAAACTCCCCAGCTCCATGGGGAAAGCTCCCCAGCTCCAAAGGGGAAGCTCTCCAGCTCCTGGAT